GGGAGGTAGGTGGGATGAAAGGGGTCAAATATGTGGTGACAGAAGAAATCTAACTATGGGCAGTGAACACACAATGCAATATATATATATGTGTATATATATACATATATATATATATATATATATATATGACTTACTGTTAAATTACACACCTTAAACTTACTGAATTTTGTCACACACATACATGCCTTACTGTTGAATTGTACTCGTGAAACTTATTGGCTCTCTCAATGCCTTTACTGTCTCTCATTGTCCCTCTCACACTCTATGGAGTGTCATCCCTTTTCTAATAAACTTTCCTTTTGACTCTAAAAAAAAGAAAAGAAAAAGAAACTTACTGGATTTTGTTAATCGATGTCACCATAAAAAACAATAAAATTTTTAAAAAATGAAAAAAACCTGCAAAATTCAGCTGAGAAAACTTGAAGATCTAATTGGCTTTCTTAAGCAATTCATGAATCAGGTAGCATTTGATCTAGCAACTAGAAAGCAGCTCCCAGGGGTCCTACAAAATGGAAGGCTTTTATAGGAAGAAGGGTGGGTCAAGGGAGCTATTAAGAAAAGAAAAGAATTATTTTTGGTTGGAGATGTCTTTTTTTGGAGGGCGATGTGCATGGGAAGGGTTTTTATCATGCAGATTGCCTCTAAGGTGTGTATGTGGGGTGGGGGGCAGGAATGGAGAGGGCACAGGTGACAGATTACCTCGTTGGTGTTGACCAGAAAATTCTAGACCAGTTGATTGAGATTGTTTCTGGGAGAGGTTGAAAATACAATTAGATCTTGTATTAAATCTAGATTTGGTATCATGGGCTTTAGCATGAGTGATGCCATTTTGGATCTGTGGTTTTGTTTTCTCTTCAAGAAACAAGGGTGAAAGCAGGGAGACCACTTGGGAGTTTTTATTTTATATACAAAGAGCTAGCATTGTTTCTGCAGTAAGGTAAACGTCTGGAAAGACTCATTTATGGAAGTTCACTCAGTCCAACTTAATGAAGCCTGTATCTTCGCATACTGATCGAAACACTGGCGGCACATATTGAGGCTCTATTTCCAGATCGGACAGTGTGGGTTTGAACAGACCTGGCAAGAACGAGACCCCTGGCCAAATATTCTTGGATGGCTCCAGTACAGTTGCTGATGACCCACCTTGCTCTCTCGGAGGCAACGAAGCAAAAGGGACATTCTGTATATATTTTAAAGGCACAATCCACAGGATTTGTAGAAGGATGGGAATGTAAGAGAAAGATAAAGTTGTGTCCAAGATTTCTAGAAGGATGGAGTTGCCATCTGCTGAGGTGGGAAAGATAACAGAAAGATATCTGGCTGCAATTGGGGGTGAAAGTAGAATAAGGATATGTTTTGGGCCTGTAAAGTGTGAAATAGCCATTGCACATTGGAGATGCCAAATAAGCATATACAAGGATATACAAGTCTGGCATTTTAGGAGCGAGGTCAGGTCTGGAGATATGAATTTGGGAGTCATCAACACACAGCTGGTATTTAAAACTATGGGAGGAGAGCAGATCACCCAGGGAGTAAATGTAGAGAAGAGATCCAAGGACAACACTAGGCCACTCAGGTTTACAGATTAGAGAGATGAGAAAGAACCAGCAAAAGGATAACAAAGGGGAATGGCCAGTGAGTGATAGAAAACCAGGAGAATGTGGTGTCCTGCAAATGAAGTGTTTCCAAGAAGAGAGAGTGAATAACTGGGTCCAATCTTGTGTATAGGTCAAGTAAAATAGTGTGAGCTTACCACTGGATTTAGCAACGTGGAGGCCACTGGTAACCTTCTTGTGAATAGTTTCAGGGTTGACAGAGATAAGATCTTGATTTGGAATGGATTTAAGGGGAGCTAGGAGGAGAACTGGAGAAGAGTATCGACAACTCCAGGACTTTTCCTATAAAGGGGAGCAGAGAAATGGGGCAGTGGCTGGAGGGGGATGTGGGAGTCAAGAGAGGGTTCGTTAAGTTTAGGAGAAATTACAGCATATTTGAATGCTGATGAGAATGATCCAGTAGAGATTGAAAAATTCATGATGCAGAAATAATATATCCACCAAAATTCAGTAAGCCAATTAGCCAGCTCTGGCTTCTGGTGTCTTAACATGGATGTCCCTGATGGACCTGAAATGCATTAAAAATTGAAAACATCGTCTCCCTTCTAAACCTACACCTTCTTCTGTAATTTGTCTCACTTGGTATTGTTAAAATACAATCGAGTAAATTTAAAGATCTAATTGACACTATTAAATTACTCATGAGTTGAGCTGCGTCTCATCTAGCAAATAGAAGGGAGCTCTGAGTAGTTGTACAAGATGGAAGGTTTTACAGGCATCCCTCAGAGATAGTGCAGTTTCGGTTCCAGACCACTGCAATAAAGTATCACAATAAAGCGAATCATCTTTTTGTTAGTGGAGAGTCTTGCCTTAAATTTGTAAGAAAATGCAACGTCTCTGAAGCACAATAAAATGAGATGTGCTTGCATAGGCAGAGAAGGTGGGACAAGGAAGTTAAGAGTTATTTCAGGCAAGGTCACCTTTCCTTAGGAAAGGCAAGGGATCTTCAGGTAGATTCCCTCACTAGGGTTGACTAGGGTATTCCAGACTGATTGGTTTAAAATTCCATTCCTGGATCTTGAGATTTTCATATTAAATAAGTCAGACAGAAAAAGAACCATATGCTTTCACTCTTATATGGGATATAAAACTGAAAGCAACAAACAAAATGACAAACAAACAGACTCTTGGGACAGTAGATTAGTTACTAGAGGGAAGGAGGGTGGGAGGAGGTAGATAAGAGTTAAGGGGGTCAAATATATGGTGATGGAAGGAAATTTAACTTTGGGTGGTGAACACACAATGGAATATACATATAATGTATTATTGAATTATACATTTGAAATCTATATGATTTTATTAACCACTCGCTCCAACAACTTTAATTTAAAAAATAAATAAATAATATTCAATTCTGGGAGAGCCTGAAACTGCAATTAGGCTAGGTACAGGCATATCTGGGAGCTATTGAGGTCTTGGTTCCAGATCACTGCAATAAAGTGAGCTGTAATCTTTTTGCGGGTGGAGGGTCTTGCCTTCAATTTGTAAAAAATACATCTGTGAAGCGCAGTAAAGCAAAGCACAATAAAATGAGGTATACCTGTATTAAGTCTTGGTGGGGCTTACCAAAAGTGAATCCATTTGGGGTTTGTTTAACAGTAGAAACTCTTCATTTAATTACCCAAGTTAGAAAAAATCTGCTGATAGCAGTGACAGCACCAACTTAATAATATTCAGTTTTATCATGTGCTAAGTGAGGCAATGGATGACAGAAAAAGCTGTAAGCACTTAGGGAAGAGCCATGACCCAACTTTAAAGTCAAGTAACAGAAAAGTGAACCGATATTGATTAGATCAACATCATCAACTTGCAGCCGTTCTATGCCCTAAATATCTTTCAAATTTGTCCCTTCACTCCATGCCTATTACACTGCCCCAATTCAGGCTTTCATTATCTCCTGATTGTATTACATGGATAGTTTGACCTTGATCCAGAGGAAGTTACACAAAATGCAAATCTCCATATCATTCACCAGCTTTAAACTTTTCAATGAGTCTCAGATAAAGGCAGTCATGGCCTGCCTCTCAAGCCTTATCTCTCACCTCTCCCAATCTCAGAATTAGTGGTCTGACACCAAGAAGTTTCTCTCTTCTGGGCCTTTGCTCCTCACTGTTCTGTTTCTATGGAATGGAGCCTATCTTCTACCCTGGCTAAATTCTACTCATCTTTTAAGGGTAGCCTTCAGTTACCTCTTCTGGGAAGCCTTCTCCAAATACTCCAACCCTTTCAAGGCTGGAAGGGGACCTTGCTTCACCTCTTCCCCCTCCCCTCAATGGCAGGGGCCACGTCTTATTTTCATCACACTTTCAAGATGTTTAATGAATAGCACACATTAACTTCCAGTCCAAGGTTACCTAGCTGGTAAACTGTTGAGTCAGAAATCATCCCCCATAGGGCTCTCATTCAAATGTAAACTCCTTAAAATCCTCACTCAAGTCATGCCCTTTAGTTTTCAAAACATTCTAATAAGGCTATTCTTTATATCCTGGGGCAGATGTTGCAAAAAGGAACTGTTTTTAAACCAGGGAGCTAGAGAAGAGCTTAACGAAAGAAACAGAAAATCATCATATAGAGATAACAGTAAGGTGGGTCGGCCAGCTGCAAAGATGACCTTCCAGGCCAGAGAAACCCCGCCCCACCATGCACCCGCGTGCGCCTCTGCACAACCCGCGGCACACCAAGGCCCCCACCTCCAAGACTACAAATCCCAGTGTGCCTCTAATCCAGAGTGACGGCCCCGCAATGCATGCCGGGACATGTAGTACAGTTCCAATTCAGGAAAAGCCCAGAACGTAGCGTGACGTCAGGAGGGCTCGGGAAAGGAGTCGGAACCGGTCCAGGCTCAAGTTAAATCTTCCTTTAGAGAGCTTTGTCTGGTTTCTTTGGTGACTCGGTTTCAGGTCTCACCCCGTAGTTCAGCGGACCTATATATGCGTTGAGTAGCCTCTCGCGTGACTCCTTCACGGTTAAAGGAGAAGTACCAGAGGGCAAGAGTAGGCAGCCTGGTGTCGAGACGCCAGCTTGTTAGAGTAGTGGTACGCAGGACGCTACCCTGGTCTGGGGCTGAGACACTGCTTCCGCAGCAGCACCGGTGAGGACGTGGCAAGACAGTCTCTGGACGACCGCTTCCCTTTCCTCCGCTCGTCTGCCCTGAGGAGCGGGAGGCGCAAAGGCAGCTGGGAACGCGCATGCGCCTACCGCGGTGGGGAGTACATCTTCAACGTCTGCGGTAGTGGGGGGGGGGTGCGGTGTCTGGTGTCGGCGGCGGCGCTTTGCGGCCGGTCGTGCGGGTCGGGCGCGGGCGGGCGCGGCGGCAGTGGCGCGCACAGGTGATTGACTGGCCAGCTGGCTGAGGGAGCGCCTGGTCCTCATCGCTGGCAGGTGGCGGAGTCCATTTGGGCGGCTGCGGAGGCAGCAGCGGCGGCCCGGCTCGGGAGGCGCTCCTCCGGCCAAGGCCATGGCCCCGCGGCTGCAGCTGGAGAAAGCGGCCTGGCGCTGGGCGGAGACGGTGCGGCCCGAGGAGGTGTCGCAGGAGCACATCGAGACCGCCTACCGCATCTGGCTGGAGCCTTGCATCCGCGGCGTGTGCAGGTGAGGCCCGTGCACCGGGCCTCGCGCCCCTCTTGCGTCGGACCATGGAAAACCGGGGCGGGGGTCGAGTTAGGGGAAAGAAGAGGGCGTCCGGATGAGTGCATCTTGCAGGCGTGGAGAGGAGCAAGGTGGAGGCTTCCTCCTCTTCCGCCGTCCGGGCAACCTGGGAAACACAACCTTCCTAGGCTCTCTGGCACGGAGGTGATGCTACTGAAAGCCCTTTAGAAAGGGTTCTGGGTTCTTATTTAGAAGATGGCGGTGGAAATGATTCAAGGCAGGAGCTGAGAGCTTAGCAAACGTTGGTGGTTGAATATCTTGGCCACGGCTCGGCTTTTTCGTTTGTAAAAAGGGAACTTCTTCCAAGTGAGCTTCATCACAGCATATCTTGTATTAGCGCTGACGCCAAAGGCTTGATCATCTTAGTATTTTTGGATGGGGTTGCTTTGGAAAAACGTATGGTTAACCTACGTCATCTGTGCCCTTCCTCCTCCTGTTGACCTCCCTTCTCGTTAATCTAGCATTTTTCAGCCTTTTTTTGGGAGGGGGGGGCGGCTGTTCTGACTCTACACCTCTCTACCAAGTACGAAGTTTGAACTGTGTAAGTGCTGTCCTCTACTTCTCCTTAGCCCTTGAACCCTGCCTTTTCTTTTAGATGGAATCCTTTGGCATTATGCCTGTCTATTCTGTTTTTCCACCTTTTAACACGGGAGCTATAGTTTTTGTTCCGGAATGTTGTTGAATTGACTTGGCCAAGCCGGGCGTGTCAGGCCGCTTTTCGGCAGGCATCTAGTAAAGGCTTTCCGGAGGTTTTACATTTTGCAGCGGGATCCAGAAGGAATGGAAGTCAAGGTCTCAGCTTTGCAGCTTAAAGTCTAGTTTGAGAAGGGAAACAAGTTAGGGAGCAAACGAATCATTCTAAGCTTTGGGCGTCGGGCCCACAGGAGGGCAAATCTGACTCCAACAGTAAGTACTGGAATGACAGAAGTCTGTGTGTAATAGAATTTATTAAGCTTCAGCCAACTTCTCAACATAATTAGGTTCCAGAGTAACCAAAGTAAACTCTTTCGCTGTAATAGTTCTGAATTTAACAGAAGTAAAGGAGTAGAAATTGGTTGAGATAATTATGAGGGGGATGTCATAGAGAGGCTGACTTTTAAGCTGCAGAGTTTATATCTAAGCATTTTTAACTACATTGAGATATAATTCATGTATCATAGGACTCACCAATTTGAGACGTAGAATTCAGTGTTTATTTGGTATATTCACAGGGTTATTCAGCCATCACCACAATCTGGTTTTGGAACATTTTGGCCCCCCTAAAAGAAGCCCATCAGATTGGAACTCATTCCTCCCCTGTACCCCCTGCCCTCCAAGCTTGAGGCAATCACCTTCTTCCTATTTGCCTATTCTGGGCATTTTATGTAAATAGAATCATACAATATGTGGACTTTTGTGTCTGGCTTCTTTCACTTTGCATAATTTTTCAAGGATCATTCATGTTGAACCATGTATCAATATTTCTAAGTTGTTGTGTAAAAATTATGTAAAATATACAACAAAATTTACCATTTTAAAGTATGCAGTACAGTGGCATTTATTACCTTTTACAGTGTGGTACAAGCATCACCAGACTTCTTTTTCATCACCCTTAAAGGAAACTCCATATCCATTAAGCAGTCCCTTCGCATTTCCCCTCCCCCACCCCTAATCTTTCTGTCTCTGGATTTCTCTATTCTGGATATTTCATATAAATGCACTGTGGCTTTTTTTTGGTCTGGCTTTCACTTAGCATAATGTTTTCGACAGTCACCCATGTTATAGCATGTATCAGTACTTCATTTCTTTTTATGGCTGAATAATATTACATTGTTTGGATATACCACATTTTGTTCATCAGTTGCTAGACTTAAACCCTTTTTCCTAACTTTGAGGAATAATTGACAAATATAATTGTATATATTTAAAGTGTAGGATGTGCTGATGTGATACAAATTATGGAATGATCACCCTGGTCAAGGTAATTAACACATCCATCACCTCACATGGTTAATTAACTTGAGGGACATATCGGCAGTTTCTACTTTTTGGTTATTGTAACTGTTGCTATGAACATTCGTGCACAAGTTTTTGTTAGAACGCCTGTTTTCAGTTATTTCGGGTATATACCTAGGAATTGCTGGGTCTTGTGGTAATTATATTTAACTTATTGAAGAGCCGCTACACTGTTTTCCATAGCTGCTGTGCTATTTTACATCCCCACCGACAATGCACGAGGGCTCCAGTTTCTCTTCAACATTGCTAACACTTGTTACTTTTTTAAAAAATTACCACCCTAGTGTGTGTGAAGTGGCATTGTGGTTTCGATTTACATTTTCCTAATGACTAATGAGTTGAGCGTCTTTTCATGTGCTCGTTGATCATTTTCATTTGTTTTTATTGTCAAATCTTCCATTTTGTGTGTGCACCTACCACATTTTATATATCTGTTCATCAGTTGATGGACGTTTGGGTCATTCCACTTTTTGGTTACTATGAATAACGCTGTGAACATTTGTGTATAGGTTTTTGTGTGGACATTTTGGGCAAATTATTTTCAAAAGTGGCTGCGCACTGTTTTGCATACAAAGTATGAGGATTCCAGTCACTCCGTGTCTTTACACTGGTTTTTGCCTCTTATAGTCATCATAGTGTGTATGAAGTGGTATCTCATGATTTTGATTTGCATTTCCCTGATGACTAATAATGTTGAGTATCTTTTCCTGTGCTTATTGGCCATTCATATATCTTCTTTGGAGAAATGTCTATTCAAGTTCTTTGCCCATTTTAAAATTGGGTTATTTATTTTTTCATTGAGTTGTTAAGTTCTTTCTATATTCTGGATACAAGTTCCTTATATTTGCAAATATTTTCTCTCATTCTAAGGGTTTTTCACTTTCTTGTTTACAGTACAAAAGCTTTTTTTTTTAATTTTGATGTATTCCAGATTCTCTCTCTCTCTCTTTTTTTTGGTTTCTTGTGCTTTTGAAACCACACCTAATCTGAGGTGCAAGCAATTTTTATTTAAATATCAAAAAGGCTTTTTTTCCTACTTACTTTTTCCTTTTGATTAAGCATTTATTCTCACTCTTAGCAAGAAGAGATTAAAGAATTAAATTAATAGTACCATTAATATCTTTTTTATATTTAATTTGTTATGAGTTACCAAAGCTGAAAGGTATTTAGCCATATTCAAAGAATAGATGAATCACGACCATATTTATATTTCCAAAACTGCTTAGGACATTCACAGGATGAAAGCAGTGTGTACTAAATTCTATATCCACAGAATTCTGCAAGTATTTTGTGTCTTAATTCTTAAAACTAGGCTTGTTTCCTAACAGTGAGGATAATAGTCAAGTAAGTTCCTTGCAGTAAAACTGGTGGATAAGGGCTGTACATTTTTCAGTTTAATCCATATTGTTAAATAGCCCATTGGAATGATGGTTCTACCTTACATTTCTTCTGTCAGTGTGTAAGAATGTCTTGTTTCCTCAACCATTACGAACACTATGTTAATTGTGCTTTTTGATCTGATAGGTGGAAAATGGTGCCATGTTAATTCCTTTTGTGACAGTTAAAGTTTTGATATGAATTTTCAAAGTCTATATTATGTCTATTTTGTTCTCATTACATGACTATTATAAAATTAAAACTTCACAGAAATGTAATGCATTCTAGTGTCATGCCAGTTTAAAAACCCTTGATGAGGACTGCTAGGCCTCACTTTTAAACTTTTATCAAGCTTTTCCTCATTGATAATGTTCCAATGACACCTTCCTCTCAGCTGGTTTACATTTTCTCTCATTTTAATTGTACTGGTCTCTTTTGCCTTGCTAACTTTCCTGGGTCCTCTGACCAAATCAGGGGACCTAGTTTTTGTTTTTATTTAAAAAAAAATTAATTATCGCAAATTTTAAGTATGCACAGAAGTAGAAAATGGTACAGTGAACCCCCATGTACCCATTACCCAGGTTTAACAGTTATTATTATTATTTTTTAATATTGTGCATTAGCTTCAGGTGTACAGCATAGTGTTTAAAAAAATTTTTTTTGCACCTACAGCACCTGGTAGTGTTTAGACATTTATGTAATTTACAAAGTGATCTCCCATACTAGTCTAGCACGCATCTGACACTATTCATAGTTACTACAGTGTTATCGACTGTATTCCTTGTGCTGTGCTTCACATCTCTGAGACTATTTTATAACTACCAATTTTTACTTAATCCCTTGGCCTTTTCACCCAGCCCTTCCCTCCAACCCCCCTCCCATCTGGCAACCATCAGTTTGTTCTCTGTCTCTGAGTCTGTTTCTTTTTTGTTTGTTCATTTATTTTGTTCTTTAGATTCCATGTGTAAGTGAGATCATATGGTATTTGTCTCTCTGTTTTATTTTCACGTAGCATAATACCCTCAAGTTAACAGTTATTGGCAGAAGATGATCACTTGTTTTATTTTCATTGCATGCTGTACTTTTACTACTTAATACAGATTAAATCTAGAAATTAATTTAATGCATGTTACTGGTTTAATAGATGTTTTGTGTTCCCTGTGTCTTTGTTCTTGTTCATTGTTTTGTATCTTTCTGCTGCCTGGCACACTTAACACTTTGAGAATACTTTGTCCTTAATTTTGAATGCAAGTGAAGCCCCTCCTATTCTCAGGCTCATAGCTAACCATTGTTAAGATAGTATAACTATTTGATTTTTTTTCTTTCTGTGTATTTGTTAAATTCAATAACTGTTTATTGGATGCCTGTTATATGCCTTACTGGAATAAGTATTCATTCTTTATTCAACAAATATTTTTGTTACCTACTGTGGACCTGTATTCTAGGGTGGTTCTTGGATAAAGACCCAGAAGTTAAAGTTCCTTCATGTGACATATATTTTAGAGAGAAGACAGATATAAGCAAACAGTATAATTGTTATTTTCCAAAAAAAGAGAGTGTCACAGCATACC